TTTTTGCCATTACACAGCAAGTCCCCATTAAGGAGGAGACCCAGAGTCCCTGCCTCACTGTCATTTTTTGGCTAATTAGCCGAAGTGGTCAGCTCTGGGACTCCTAAATGCTAACAAGTGAGACATGAGTAAGTCCTAGATATATCGCTCAGTCCCCATTTTTTAAACCACAGATACTTCTGAAGACATCAATCACTCATTCCCCAGTGTTATTTTTTTAAGGACATTTTTCTATCACATTAAATTTTACTCTCAAAATACATTTCTTTTATTTGAATACATGTACCAGCCACCAGGTAAATTATGTTCTGAGTCCTTCTTAATATTATTTTTTCTTATACTTTCTTAGAATAGCCATAATCTCATTAATTAGTCTCATAATCTGAGCAAGATAACAAAAAGAAAAAAGCCTTCCTTTCCTGACAATATTATTCTAACTAAAAATTATAATTGGTAACAAAGTTAACAAACCTAGAATTAGATCACATACATCAGGAGGTCATCAAGTGTAACAGAATGTCAGTGAATGATTTTTAAAAAGTATTAGTATAACAATCTGGTTTCATAATTGGTGAGCTGTAGCTTCTTTTTATTGCATGTAAAATGAAGAGATTCCTTCATCCACAGTGAAAAATGGAAAATCATTCAGTTTGGGGTTTTTGGTTGCTAGTAGCAACAAATACTGGAATATTGCCATCTGGCCTCTTGTTTTAAATGAGATTTGAATAATCAATTTAATAATGGATAGAGTACATACTTAAAGAAATAATCACTTGTCATATCTTAAGAAAACTTTGGTATAAAAAAATCCATTGTATGAATTAATGCAGAGCACATAACAATCAAAAGAGATGAGGTAATTTTTATTTTCGTTACTGTTGCCTCAAAACCTCAAGCTTACAAGGTTCTAAGTCATCCCATCAAACATCTAATAATGAGGGGAAACAACCAAGAACAATTGGTTTGTTACAGGCACTCAAAGCCAGTAACCACCAGAGGGATTAAACCATATAGAATGGCATTTTGAACTCACTTGCAAGTCCTCTGGTGTCCACAATAAAGGGAGCAAAATTAAACACAGCAGAGAAAAAAAGACTAAATAAGTAGAATATTCATCTTACTATTGCTGCTTCAGACATGATGAAATAGGAGTTCAGAACATGAGAGCACTGAAGTTACAAGTGCTTTCTTCATTTATAGGATGTTTATATAGCTGACAAAGTGTTCCCACACACTGCTGAGACCCAGAACAGGCTCAGGGTGTTGATTCTGTCCTGGAAATCCTGGGCCCACAAAGACAATTCTTTCTGAATTTGCATATCAAACTGCCATCACAGGAGAAATAAATAGGATTCAGATACTTGACCATGGCAAATTAGGAAAAGATACCACTCTGCAATAAATAAGATATACCTTAATCACAGATTTTATCAATGTTGATTTTGACTGGAAATCAAGGTACCTGTTTTGAACTAACTTTGTATGAGTTAAGCTCATCCCCTTAATGAGAAATTATTCTCTTGAAAAGCCTCACCCTTGAACTGTGCATTTATTGCAATAAATGCAATTTGTGCATAGAAGCACTTTCTTAGCAGTAAACAGAGACTGGCTCCATTTACACCTCTTTAGGAGAGAAAGTGCCCCAAGCCAGAGTGGCACCACCTTCCCTTCCCAGGTACCACAGACTTCCAGGCACAAACACCAAAAATTCCTGGTATGAGGTTCAGTCTGGGATTTGGTCAATTTTACAGAGTTTGGAGATTATAATAAACAGGCTTTACATGGCACAATGGTGCCACCAAGGTCACCATTGCAGCTGTGCCCTCCCTGGTGCCCTGCCAGCTGACACCAGCACTGCCACTCCAGGGACAGTGACATCCAGCAGGGCTCCACTGACTGGAGGGGGCATTTACCACTTCCATGGCCTCTGCACTAATTGTGACTTTCTCCCACAAATGGAGAGTACATGTTGATAACGAGTGATGTCAACATTATAATGTATAAAAGTATTGGTATCATCTGAGCCACTGTACACTGATAGATATTTTTAATTAGTGAAAATATAGAAGTGTCAGGTGGCCAGAAAATAATACAAGCTCTACAGACCAGCTCTTGAACTTTTTCAGGTAGGTCCACAAGTTGCAGATTCACAGGGAGTGAATCACAAGGGGAAAGTGGGAGAAATTTTTAAGCCTTTATTTCAACCTTATTACTGTTTACAGCAGTTCCTTGTGACCATTTATCTCTGACATTTATAAAACACTAATCACCATGGAAATGCCTGGTATATATCCCCATCAAGAAAGACAGAAAATCACTGTCTCCTTTATTGTGTCTTTTACCAGAGAACTAATATCTGGAGGTGGCTTTTTCATGCAATATTCTATTTTAATATAAACTTCTTCCAGGAGCTAAACATATTTTAAAACCCTTTAAATATGGAAAAGGACAGACTGTTAATTAACTTCCCCTAACTCGCTTTTAAATCATGGGAGAAAAAAAAAGAGCTGATAATGGTCCTTCAGCAATCAAAAGGAGAAGGAATTTTCAACCAGAAAACACAGGAGAAACCACTCTGCCAAGGAACTAGACAAAAAAGTCTAGCTCACCCAGAGAAGTTTACAACATATAAATCCATAAGCTCCTAAGGAAAACAGACACTAAATTTCAAACTTAACACATCTCATACTACTGAATTGAATAAAATTTTCCAACAGAGGGAAATACAGCATCTTGACAATTCCCAAAAATCTTGACAAGAATAACACAGTTTATTTAAGAAAGAAAAATTAGAAGGTATCCAAGAAAAGAGGATATGATTTCTGGCTTATATCTGGGCTGGGAATTAAATGAAAGCTCACAAAGTGGGCTGCTGCAGAGCCAGAGATTGAGGACTACCTCATTCCAAGGTTTATCATCCTTCAGCCACTTGGGTCTCATTCTCCAGGCCTGTAGCTTTGCCATACAGCTTGTCTCGTGCCCCAAGAGCAGGCACATCACAAGAAGGAATTCTCTAGAACAGCAGGTAGCACTTTCCCTCATCAGATGGGACAGATATCAATCAGGATAAAACCAAACACTAAAGATAAATCTTCAAAGAGTAGGAAACAGCTCTCTGTGACACCAGCAGCTCCTCCTGCTCCAGCTGCTGATCATTGCCAAGCCTTCTTCTGAAAACTGCCACCCTCAATCTTCCATTGAAGACAAGTATTCAAACAAAATTAAAGGCTATCCATTTCTTAAGAAATTAGATTTTATTCCTATTGCTGAAGTTTGTATCTTTGGGTTACTAGCATTTAAGAAGGTAGTCAAAAATAATTTCTATAAGGGCATATCCTCATAAGGCCCTTTAATAGACGAAGTACATCAAAGAAAATACTTTTTTTCCCTTTTTCTTTGTTTTAGCAAGACAAGAGGCATAACATTACAATCAGAGAGAAAAGCTGTCCTTCTTCTCTGACAATCATAACATTAGCAAGCCAGATGTTGCTTTCACCTGCACCTACAGCAATCTCTTTCTACCTCATTTAATAAAACCACAATTGGAATTGTGGCTCAGAAAGTGCTGGGAAAATACAAAAATACAAAACAGATGTGCAAGGACAGTTATAGGTATATGGACACTGTAAAACTCTTGGTTTCATAAGTCTTCTTGTGATCTGTAAGTTTATCATGCTATTTAAAACCATGCACCATTCTCAATAATGTTTTGTTCCCAAAATTCATACACATACAGTTCCCCAGAAGCATATTCTTACTAAGTTTTCTGAAATTCTTTTTCTAAAGTTAACAAAATGAATTATTTTTCACTAGAGAGAACTTCACTGAAATCTTTAGAGAATTAATGGAACATGAGACTATGAAGACTGAAATCATCATTCATGGGAAGGTATTTGCATGGTAAACTGTAGTAAGGAGAGAAGAGTGAAAAAAAAAAGTAAACCTCAGGATGTTCCTTGCAACGTAACTCCCCAAAGATGAGGGGCTGACGGCTGACCCTGTATGCCTGAACAACACCCAGTGATGCCTCTTTGCATAGCACTTGAAAAGAAAAGTGCATAGAAAGAAAGGGATCCTCAAAGTTCATCTTGCATAATGCAGAGATTCTCAGCGCAGCAAATACAAAGCATTGCAGAAAAGTTGTAGTGATACTGAAATTCTGACAAATTAGGAATGCTCTGAAACTCTCCACCAGCTCGATTTCATTTATCACTCTTTCAAAGGAGCAGGTTTATGCAACACTCAAATCACCAGAGCTGGTCCACACAATGCCATCACACAGGGCAGGGCTGGGCTGTTCCATGAAGCAAAAAATGCAAAGATTTTTTCCAACATGGGTACAAACACAGACCTTACTTTTACATCTTCTTTTTCTTTTGGCACCCTTGTCACTTTGTTAACTTGAATGACAAACTTTATTAAAAATTTGCTATTCAATCCAGTAATTTGCTCAGCATGTTTCCTGGTGCACATTCAAATGGTCCAGAGACGTTGCTACAAAGTAAAGGACTCTACATGGCGAACGCTGAGTGACTCAGACTTTTAAAAAGGAACCTGGAAAACATCCCATGCAATGCATCTGCTCATCTACCATAAAATTCTGAGGCTAAGGTTTCCTAAGTAGGAGGGGAAAATGATTATGTACTTGGCATCAATATAAACTATACCACATTCAATTTCTTCTGTGGAAAAACAGAGGGAGATGTGACCCTTCTGATTCTCCCACATAACTCTATAAACTACAGAATATATGGCTTGTTCTAGCAGGACAAGATCTGTAAAACTCCGTGTGAGCTGTTGATGATCCAGAGGCCATGCTGCTTGTGTCTGAAACATGGGACATAAGCACATGGAATAAAAACTCATGGGAAACAGGCCTGAACAAACGGTGGGCAAGAAGGAATGCAGGGTGTGAGTGCAAGCAGGGAATACAGGCTGCAAGCTGAAGGGAAGGTGGAGTGGGAGTTTCAAAAAAAGTAGAACAGGCAAGGAAGGCCCACCTTTTTTTCTGAAGTTCCATCTTTGGATTAATCACTGACAAGTCTGTGGAAGTCTGATGTGTTTCCAGATGTTTTCATTATGGCTTTTTGTAACAATCCCATTGGCTCATCTTGGCACACCTTGATAGCACATGTTCTAAGTCTGCAGGAAAACAGAGATGTACCCTCATGGACTTCTCCCAGCAGGCATGTTCCATAACTTCTTTCTGGAATATAAAGAAGAAACCCCCAGGAAGCATTTTTACTCTCTTCAGTGAAGATGGACACAATTTTGGGGCATGAAGGCTATTTTCTCAGGTTTTCATTTGTTAATCACAACATTCTCCTGCACTGCATGACTTAAAATATTAAAATTTACTGTTATTAACCTCCTATGCCCTCTTTTTGAGACACAAGGCAGACCAAGATGCTGTGCCCATCCTGAAAGGTGTCAGTTTGTGATAAAGAGAAAAATCCGATGTGTTTCCTCTCAGTTTGCCATCCAAGGACTGCAAACAGCTGGGTTGGGATGTTTTGTGAGTGGGTAGCAGAGGAAGGCTGTGTGACTGCCCAGTTCCAAAGCTTTACGTGCTCAGAGTGCACAGAAGCAGGGCAGGAGGCTTGTCCTGCCCTTGGAGAGCTGAGCTCCAGCCCTGCCAGCCCACGGGAGTGACAGCCAGAGCAGGACACTGGGGACAGATCACAACAAAAGCCAGACTGGAAATTCCCAGAACAAAAGGAAATATCTGGCAACATCATGGATCCAGCCTGAGGAGCTGAGTAAAAAAGAAATTTTCTAGAAATCAGAGAGACTCTGAAGTTTGGTTTCCTCCAGAAGCCACTAAGCCAATGGACTGAAAAGCAAAATAGGAAGACTATCTCCTCACCACTGTTTCCTCACCAGCCTCTGGCAGGCAGGAGTAATTTACTTTAATCCCATTTTGTGGAGGATTTCCCTCATTCAGCAGTTCTGTTTGTGCCTTGTTACAGAGTTAGTTTACTTTACAATATTATTAGTGTATTTTGATTAATATATCCTAAAAAATTGGAAGCATTTTGGCTTGCTGATTTTAAAGGAAAGAGCAGGGGCAGATCCACCCCTGGTAGTCCCATATTCCAGCTCACCCTGGTTCTGCTGATAAAACCCAGTAATTAAATACAGCAGCTGGGTCAAACAGAACTGCTGAATGAGGGAAATATATACTATAGTAACAGTGGAAGTACAGGTCCAACACCTGACATGAAGCAGCAGTGTTTTAAGTCTGTCATGAACCAAAGTGCACAAAACAGGTCTTGAATTTTCCATAACCAAAAATACTGTTTGGGACCTCAGAACAGAAGCATAAATTCAGAAGCACTGAGACAGAGCTGTGCATGCCCAGATAATCCCTGGTCTGTGCCAGAATCACTGGTCCAGCAGGCTTCTCTTGAGGTATGTTTTCATAGAAATAGCAATGTATATTTGGGAAGCACTAATAAGCTAACAAAATAGCCTTTCTTCCAATTATTTACTCATTAAATGTGTCAGTCAGCAAACAGGACACAAGATGATGAAAGAAAATCCACTACACTGCAGGTGCAAGTCTTTTTTAGGATAATGGAATAACTAGAAGTCTCTGGCAAACTAAAATTGTCTCTCTACAATAGTCACTATCCAAAATGATGGATTATGATTTCCAAGAAACAGCAAACATTAGGGTTTAATTCCTTTAGAAGCAGCAGAAGTTGAGGGCACATGAGAGATGGCTGAATTTGAGTAGCGAGGGTCAGGCAGTCTATTAATAAAGAGTAGAAGTAGGAGAAGCTTTAATGTTTCATGTGTGCTTCTAGAGACAGGACAGGTCGACACACTCACAGGAGCCACCATGGGGAAATGAGGAATAGACTGCAGATAGAATTAGTACCTATTTGTATCCTAAATGCAATATGCAGAATACTTTTATAAGAAAAGTATTATGACACAGTAATTTGGCCATGAGAGGGTAATTGACTTAAGGTATTCTGATAAAGATCGATTGCTGGGGTTTGGAGTTATGACACCAACAAAGTTACAATGACATTAGCACAAAGAGAGAGACACAAATCCATTATAAAGATACAATCAAATATTCAAAAAAGCCTGGCATGCTCATTACTTATTCATGCTAATACAAGTATATTAAGAAATCTAAACAGTGTTAGCATTCAATCACTCACAAACCAAATGAGGTTTTGCATTTATCAGCCACCAGTCATCAAGAATGTAACATTAGCTGTACAAAGGTGGTAATATGACATAACTGGAGATATTTATATCAGCCTACACAGACTGAGAGATACAGTAGGATTTATTAAAGTGAGTAATGCCTTCACATTCAGCACAGCAATAAAAGAAATAGCTGTGCAGAAGTCATTTCCCCAGACAATAAGATTTACCTTTGCAATCACTTAAAGAAGTTGTATATGCTTTCAAGGGTCTGAAACAATCTTCTCACCATTAATAAACAATTTGGAGCTTAAGTTTGCAAATACAGAACAGTGATGAAATTTTTAGAACATACCCCAAAAGCCCAATGAGCAGTCAGGGTGTCTGTCTAGCTGGGGTTTGGCACTTTTTCTCCTTAGGCTGATTAAAAGAACACCTAGGTTAATTCAGGCTCAAATGTATGTATAGGTTTAATAAAACTCCCTCCATTTTGAACTTGATGTCAAATGGTTTCATCACCTGCTGGCCCCAACACCTACAACTTTTCTAGCTGTCTGTTTCAGCACATTCCACTGCATATTTCTACACATTGCACCAAATGCCTTTGCTTTCCTCATCCAGAGTTCAACCATTAGCATTTTTAGGTTGGCTGAGAAGGAGAAATCAAACTCTGATCACCAACACAACAGCATCCAAGCAATTCCAGAGCCAAGCACAAAGCCAAAGGTTGCAATGTGGTGCATGACACAGCTCCTGGTGTGAGGACACGGTGCATCTGCAGGGGATGTTTACACTTGCTCTACAGCAGCACTTGAGCAAGGCTTTGCTCTGGTTTGATGCTGATGACATGCCATTTATAAACTGTGACTGATAAACCTAATGCCTCTGAAATCAGATAAAACTTTGATAAATGGCTCCTTAGCGAGCAGGCTGCAATAGCCACTTCTGTCCACGTCCAGCCACCCTGCTGCAATCAGCACCATTTTGTTTAATCAAGGGTTCAGACAACAACACATTTGAAAGCTATCACACCATTAAGAGATGTGGAGATACTCTTTTCCTGAAGGATATATTAAGACAGAAAACTACAAAAACTAAACTCTTTCTGTAACAGTTTTATAGCACGAGTACTTGCTAGGAAAATCCACAGAATTTAAAGATGACTTTTATTATGAGGGCTTTTCCCACATTCTGTCCCTCCTGAGAGGGACCCTGTAGCAGAATCAAACATACATGGTAACAATCATTTTCTCCTTCACAGGTAAATAAAAATACCATTGATGCTTTAACAAAAAGAACATATTATGTGAGAGTGGCTTAAATACCAAAATGATAAAAGGAGCCCCAGAACTACAGCAGTATAGGAAAAAATATAATATTACAGTCAAAGCAAAAAAAAATTGTTCCAAGGCTGCCAAAGCTGTGCCACTTCTTTTCTACAGCTTCCATAAAAACACAATATGAATTTATGGTGATGTCAAATAGCACGAGGTGCAGAGGATCAAGTGGAGACTGATCTGTTTATACCCTGAGCACATCAGCCTGCTCAGCAGAATAAGCTAACAATTCACAGATCCTAAACTCTGTCTATTTACACCTTCCCTCTGGATTGTGTACACAGGGCACGTGTGGCTGAGTGCAGGATAATATTGTTCATTTGATCTTCACCCAGTGGGACCAAATTTCCAGATTAGCATGTGATTTTTGAAACAGACTGGTAGCACTGTGTTTGTTACTTTCTGGAGCTGGTTAGCAGCCATGTGAGGTAAAGTATTTCATTTTAAGCAGAGAGATTATTCATATGTCAGGTTTTTTAATTTAACTCTGATCCTGAACAAGAGAGCAGAACAGAGTTACAAGGCTTCCAGAGCTGACAAAGCCAGAAGACAAATCAACAATTAAGAAGGGGGTGGGTCAGCAATTACTTTTCAAACATACAGCTCTCAATTATTCCAGGAAACCAGTTTACATCTCCAAGCACAGAGCAGATGTATGTTCACCACGTTTTGGAAGGAAATAGCTTGACCATCCCCAGTGAAGAAGGAGGCTGCTAAGCTAAGGAGAAGCAGCATACAGCAGCACTAATGAAATAATCTAGTGCAGGCACTGCTTTAGTAGTGATTTTCTTACAACCAGGAGACTTAAGGGAAAGCATGTTTTTAAAGAAGCTGAGGGATAGGATAAGGATTTTAATGAATGGTGACAAAATCCCATTTTTCAGCCCTTAACATCCTCTGTGAGAAGAGGGCAGAAGGACTAACAGTGAGCTGTGAAGCAACTGGACTGTGCAGCAAATAGTCACAATTAAAATCAAAATCATCATAATCAGAGTTCCCAGGTAAGGCAAGTTAATGAAGACAAGATCTACACACCCCTACCCTGGCTTTCTCTTCACCTATGGTAAAAACCAGCCAAGTACAGAATAATGCAAAATCACTGGGTACAATTAATATTATCCTCAAAGACAATCTCTGCTTTGTCTTTAGAAATTAAACAGGAAGCAGAATTATACAGATAAAGAAGATTTGGGTTCTAGCACCTAAATGAGCAACTTTCACCTTGTCACAACAAATGACAAATTGAAAACTTCTCCAAAATGCAGGTATATAACTAAACCCTGCCACTGAGTGAAATAATTGGGACCAAGGTAACACATGCACCATCACTCCAATCACTGCCACCTGCCTGGTGTCCATTAATCTTTCTTTGCCCAGTTTCCTCTTCCTCCTGGAAAGGGAACAAAATGATAGAGAGATAATTCTACCCAGCACAGCACACAAAATAATAAACTGTTTCCTAATTTAACTCTTCACTGATTGTTTTATGCTCTCCAGCATTTCCAGAGTACTGCAAATATAAATGATTAAGATACTAAGTGACAAAACAGCTGATTCAGAGTGGTAACTTTAAGCAGACATTTCACCTTATTCTGATATTTACTCTCAGAGAACCATTAAGACCTACCCTGAAAACACTGGGACAGCCCCAGCACTGATGCAGTGATAATGATTTGACATTAGGGCTCCATGAGTTTCTGAGGAAAGCTCACACTACTGCCTCCCAACCAGAGCTTTGGTTACTGACTGGCTATGTACATGAGAATTTGGCAGCTGAGCCAGACATGCTTGGGTTGCTCCTAAAACTCAGTCTGACTTTTGTTTCACACTTGTCAAAGAAAGAATGGGAAAGAGTAGAAGGCAATAGAAGCAATAAAATCAGCTAGAGTGCAATATTTAATGCCAATTTTTTTCCCCTAAGAAACTATAGAGTGAAATATGAGATTTCTTCTCTCCTGAAGACTTCTTGACCTAGGATTTCAGCCTCAGCTAAACAGATCTGCTTCAGTGCAGCACACATTGTCCTGGATGTACATCCAAGGGAAGCATTTTGCACAGGAAAGTGTGAGCCAGCAAGGCTGGGAGCAAAAAGAGAGGAGGCATGAACTACTGTTCTGTGTTGTTCAAGAAATCCAGGCCTGAATCATCCTAGTAAAGGAAGTCAGGGACAGGATAAACTCTCCTTCAGCTTTGACTTCATTATGTGATCTCTCATAAAATTCTGATTTAACTTGAAACTTTTTGAATTTTCCAGACATATTCAGGATGGAAGGGAGGGTAGGTGGGGATGGGGGATGCTAAAGTTCTGCTTTGTACCAGAGCTCCATAAACCTTTCTGGTTTGGATTCATCAGACACCTCAATATTGACAGCCACAAGTCATCACAGCTTTACTTTGAATTCTGAAAAACTCTATAAATCATGGGAAAGCCATGATCTCCACCCAAAGAAATTAATCTCTTATCTTTCTATCTGCTTTTTTCTGTAATCTGCAAACTTCGCTTTTAAAATTCTCCTCCTTTATTCATCTCTCTCATGAATCCTACCTGCCACCTCTCTTTCTCAAATCTGCTTATAAAAGGACACTTCTCCTTCATGCAGTTGCTCTGCTGACCTTATCCTAGTACTTAAAACTTAGTAGTTCTTATTTCAACACGAAATAAATTTCTGGTTGGACTCTTTCATTCCAAATGTGTATTTCTCACCAGAATCTGTAGGCTTAATGCAACATGATCAGGAGAATAAAGTCACTAAAACTCATGTGTCAAGGACTATGCAAAGAAAATACTATTAAAAGGAAATAAAGGGATTAAAAGGCAACTGGATATTTCTGAGTATTTTCTTTGCTTTTTATCCTATCTCCTGACACAGTACAGAAAATTTGGGCAAACAACCCAGATTTACTATAAATCATCTCATTGAGAAGCCAGAGTGTATGACTGCAAAAGATCTGTTCTGTGCAGAACTGGCTTTTCCTAGAGAGGAAAGCCAAGATGAAACTGGCAAAAGTTTAACATGATACATTCTGTCAACTGTTAATTTGATTTCATAATTCAACATTAAGTCCTTTTAAAGACACAGGACCATCTTAGCTGAATGTCAGATAGGCTCCATCTAGAATTACTGAAAAGATGCCCATCAGGGCTAGTAACACTCCAAGGTGCATTCTGGCTGTCCATGGCAGCTGAGAAAACTGGGAGCAATACAATATTGCTTGGAAAACAAGCAGCACAAAGGAGCACACAAATTCAGAAACATGCTAATATTCCATCTAATGTTAATGAAATCCTGAGACAGACTAGGGAAGCTTAAGATGTAGGACATGCATTATCCAAGTTCAAAAGAATAAGCACTAAAATGCCTGGAATTTGGGGAAGTAAATTTTCTGCCTAAAGGAATCAGCTTTTGATTAAGCAATTGACTTTTGTAGTAAATAACATTAAAATAAAGCACTTGAATTTCACCAATATTATAAAATTAAAGTACAAAAACCACTAACTGCCATGGACAAATGTTTGCCATTAAATTTAAAGAGAATAAGGGGTGGGTTCTGTGGGAATTTGACATTTATCATTCAAGCGAGGAGAGATCCTGTGAATCTCAAATAACACAACTAAGAGCAAGTTAAGTGACTTTTCTCACAGATGGAATAATGCTACATCTTCCTGCAGCCCATCCTGTATTCTGTTTCAGCTGTGTAATGACATGCAGAGGTTTCAGGAGAAATGTGGAAAGCAGAAAACCTGAAATCCTCATAGCAGACACCCAGTAAACCTGCAGAGTGGAGTGTCACTTACTCCCAGCTGACTCACATATCTCATGGCCAAAATAAAGGAGTTTTTCCATCTTCTGCACACAGACACACAGGCTCCCAATGTTTTATCGTGCAATGCTGCCTGTCTCAAGTTCAGATTTCAATATTTTCATAAAATATGACTTAAGTGCTCTCATATTTCCTGAATCACTTCCAACTGAAACTAACCTATGGTTGTCAAAATAAGTAAATGAAGTATCCTTTTTGAGTAATACAATAAACATTTCACTAGAGGTCTGCTGGTTCTTAATTTACAAAGTTATTTAGCCTCTAGATAAGCCAGCTGAACGCACATACCTTCTACCCTTTAAGAAAATTTAACACACAAACCATAGTACCCCCATTATTTCAACCTCTGAAAACACTTTTACAACTACCTACAGCAAGTGCTGTGCTTAGGCTATACAAGATTGCAACAGGTAAATAGTGTCTCCTCTTGCAAGCAATGAAAGACAAATATAATTTAAATTTCCCTTCATACTTAGCTGTAAAGACATAGGATTGATCCAAATTGTTCTGAGCCTTGTTACTGCAAGGTTTCTAGCTCAGTAGTCATTTATTCCTTGACATTTTTCATTCATACCATCATACAAGCTGACCTCAACTTTGTATCAATATTTATACAGGGGATTGTCATACAGGGGGATACTTTAATAAAGAATTGCCATTTTCAGGATTCTGTCCTTTGACAGAAACTTCTCCCCCTTGATTCCTGAAGACACATAAATATTCCTTCATACCACATATATGCAAAGACAGTCAATTAAAAGTTAGTAAACAGAAAATTAGATGGTTGTTCAGGGATTACTTACATTTGCTCCTTGGGCATTTTTGTTCTCAGGTCTGACCATACCCAAGAGAGTCACTGCAAAGGAGAAGTGTTGTGAAAACTCAATATTATGACATAAGACTGGCAGAAAATTCAAGTTCTGGAGTCAATGGAACTGTTCTAAAGATCCCTATCAAGACTGACTAGAAACAAGTGGGTTTTGCAAGGTTCTACCAGTGTGTTGGAGCTATCACTGAAAACAGAAACCAAAGGTGAAGGCAACTGAAAAAAAGATAAGGAGGTTTTAATAGCTTAAGGAAAATAATATCCTCTTCCACTTTGCTTTGAATTATTTCCTCATTTGGATGTTAACTTTCACAAGTTTAGAAAGAAACACCATTGTCATAATGCAAAAGTGCATTGTGGAAGTACCAGAGCCTTCTTCCTGTGTGGAACACTCAGGAGAGAACAACTCTTGACTAGAGCCAACCACTGCATCCATCCACACACTCAAAACATTTTAAAAGTACATAGGATGACTAAAAGGAAGAGAGAAGACGAAACTATACAAAGACCTCTGACAAGTTCTAGTCCCAGCTAAGGAAAAGGTGCACAAAAAACATTCAAAAGTCAACGCATCCTAAAATGACCTTTTCTAGTCAGCTGAATGTATTCAACATATTAATTTCTTGTAAAATACTGGCTTTTAATATTCCTTTTTTTTTATAATGCAAGCAATTAGGAAGGATTTTCAATAAAAATCTATGTTTATATTTGCCAAAAAATTGAAGTAATATCAAATACATAAAGAACACTGGATACCTCAAAAATACCTCAACTAGTACAGCTTCCTGCAAATCATTAATCAACTCAGTTGGCACAATTAGTCAGTCTGCTATTCAACATAATCTGTAAAAATTTCTTATTTAATGGTGAAAAACAGATTAGAATTGAAACCAAGCCTTTTTATTTATGGAAAATCCAAGGTACAAACTTTTAACAGGTTTATTTAAAAAACAATTTAATAGCTAAATAATCTATGTTTTACCTGAACATGCATTCTCATTAAAAGCAAAGTAAATATCTCTGAATACAGACACATTCTATGCCATTCTCTTCATTACTTAATTTCCCAGGTATCTCAGCATGATCTGAATAAATTATGCTGACAATACAACAATATAAATGATAAATCAACAGCACAATTTTAGTGATATATAGCATGAAAAATAAATAATAACCAGCACTGCTAATTGGCTGGCTACCTGGCAACAAATCAGTGAGCAAGCAACTCCGCTGGTAATGCTTCAGCTGTGCACCACCCTAATCACTGAACATTTCTAGCTATTCTAAGTTGTTTCTGCTGATTTTTATACAAAACTGTACTGTAAAATAAAAAAAAAAGCCAGAAAATCTCACTGAAAAAATATAAAAAGAAACTTGCACATTGGCAACATCTGGATGTTATGAACCCACTCCTACTACATTGTGTGGCACAAGCATTCATCAAATCAGAATAATTTTTACTTGAAAAGCTGAAATAGAACATTTAGACACTGAAGTTATCTACCAGAAGAGACTGTAGTCTTTCCTTTGGGGCATTATTTATTGTCCCAAGACAAAAGACAAATATATAAGTGTGAATCCTACTTTCCATCAAAGGCCAAAGATTCCCTGAGCTCTGCTGGGGACAAGAGAATCCTCCTTCAGGACAAGACATCCCCAGAGCTCCTCAGCTCTGGAGAGCAGGGGGCAGAGCCAGCCTGTGGCACTTGGGGACTCTGAGCAGCCTGGCTCCATCCTCCCAAAAACTGGCATAAACTGCACCCCCATGACAGCCCCAGGTGCTGGAGGGAGAAGTTACACAAATCACAGGAGTGTGTGGCCTGATTCAGCATCTCACCCCATTGCCTGTAGGTTCCAGGATTTGTGGGAAAAAAACCAAAAAACCAACAAAATCATCACTATCCCAAAGGGAGACAGAAAGTGTTGTCAAATGATAAATATTAACTTGTGCTTTCCTAATTTATTTCACTGCATCTCTGAGACCTGCATTATAAACATGGATGTCCACTTTTGTTTTCTAATCCTGCCACACTTTTCACTCCAAAGACTTCCTTCAGCTCAAAGTCCTATCATGCATACCATCAAAACCTCCCCCTTATCAATTTCCAATTTGCTGGCACACTTCTCTGTTTGCAGTGTGGGACAAAGCCAAGAGAGAAATCAGATTTACCTTGTGTAAATCATTCCTTTCCTACAAAACCTTATCTTCTCAAAACTTTCCTTATCTTCTCATTCACTTAACATAATCCCCCCCCCTATTTTTACTCTTTGCACATAAAATTCTCTATGCTTCTGGACACTTTTTTATTGCTATTGCTTTACTCTTTCTGCTTCTGATGTAAATTTTCAAGCAGAAAGGTATGAATCCAGCAGTGTATTCAAGGCAAGAGGATATCACTGATAGGTATCATAATATTTGCAGTATTATTTTCCAAGCCATTCTTTATTCACCCAAGCATTTTGCTGGCTGCTCAGACCACCGCTGTGAGCTGAGCAGCCTTTTCTATTGAGCTGTCTGCAGTAATGATGATCATGGGGAAACTCCATCCCCACTGAAAGAAAAGGCAAAACTCCCAGAGACTTCAGTAGGACCTGAATTTCACTGAAGTTCTTTCTGCCAAGTGGTTGTAGCTAATTTAGAATTCAATCAATGGTTATGAATACTGCAACTAATTCTATAAAATTTACATTGCAGGAAATTTGTCAAAACTGAGTATATTTGGATTTCTGCTCCCTAATTGCCTAAATCAGTTACATCTCCAGAATTCCTCAGAGGCTGCTATGGACTTGACTAAGCAAAAATTTTTGTCATGTATATTTTTGCATTTTATTTTTCATTCCATACACAACTTCACTTGAGTCTTTACAAAGCAAATAAATCAAATAAATATACTGACTACATCACTGTTAATCCTGGGTCTCTGGGAGCCCTGTTAACTTGAACCTGTGCTGAACAATAGCCAGTTCTCCAGTTTTTGTTATCTTTCCAAGGGTCCACATGCATTTCATTAAACTAGTTTTTTTTTTTTCTCTAATTGCCCTTTCCTCAGCAAATACAAATATTTCTAGTAGCCTGAGAGATCTTATTTATGATGATTTCTTATCTCTTAGTATATGTGCCCTCTTATAAGTATTTTTAAACTGTTATTGTTGCTAGTGTTTTAAATCCCGCCATCTTTCCCCCCTATTTCTGGTGAACCTTAATTCACAAACTGATGAAGATTTTCTGTTCCAGCATGGAAGAAAGAACAAAAACTAAATTGACAGTTCGAGAAGTGGAAGTTGCAGTCCTCACTGCATATCTTCAAGTGCATAGCTACCGTTCACAGTGCTGCTCTATGGCTCAGTCCTATGCAGTGGATTTAAGCTAATTTGAAAATACCAGGCATTTGCAGAAGTCTCTACTATCTGCTGCTTATCCCACCATTTGGGTAAGAATTAAGCAATGTAGGAGCAGAACACAATCTCTGTTCCAAACCCTTAATAACAATTGCAAACTTTGATAGCAACACCATTTCTTGATGGCCCAAGTTGAAGGTTTCCTCTGAGACAGCCCCGTTACTGTGGGCCTCATTCAGGGCAGTAATTGTTTTTGGATGCTTCTGCACAGTATCACATCAAAGGTACCAACTTGGTAGCAAATAATCTGGGATTTTCCCCATGCACTAGGCAGGAAATCTGCATGTTGTTGAGTGCCTAAGCAAACAGGGAGCTGGGAGCCCTTAGGGGAACTAGCTCAGATATTCAGTACGCATCTTCCTCAGTCCTATCATCCTATGGGGGCTCTTCATTTCTTGAGTCTTCAATTTAATAAATCCACTGAAATTAACAAATCAGCAATTAATAAGGAATTAATATGGTTCAGGCATGTTTAAAGTTAAATAAGCACTGAAGTGTTTTACTAAACAGGAGTTTGACAAAATGTACTACTTTATTTCCTCTAGGTCATGCTCTTGGTTTCAAACTGCTGAGGTGGCACTGGTACCCAAACTCAAACTCTGACCAGCCACAAATTCAGGATAAAACAGGTCTTTGGTGTTTAAAATACCCTTTGCTGTGACAGTAACTCAGCAAGACAGCTGGTTCCCTGGCAGTGACAAGATCCTGTCTAGTGAGGCAGCAATAATACAGATATTGCAAAACATGATGCAGTTTTTTTTCTAAAAGACAAAAACCAAATCAAATTAATAATAATAATAGTAATAAAGCCCTAAGCAAGGAAAAAAAATAAAAAGACACACAGAGTAGTAAAAAAATTTTTCTTCATGCACCTAATATACTGTGGCTGTGGTATCACATTTTTTTTCTCTAAAACACAAAATATAGATGCAGTGCTATTTCTTTCACTTCCTTTTCCAGAGGAGAATGAAATGTGGATTTGGGACCAGAAAGAACTTGTGTCACTGTAAGTGGGGAAATGCAGAAGCAGCTGTTGCCTTCTCCTCTGCTGAGTGGTGAAGTTCTCACACAGCTCTGCTGTCCAGTGACATCCTCTTTCCTGAAGACATGCAAATATTCAGGAATGCACACAATAACTAGAAGCATATATGTTCTATGGTTTCAACGACAGCAGGTTTAATCTTGTTTAAATTTTTTAATTGAAGCAAAAAATGTTTTCATTTGGCATATGCTGGCAGCAAATAAAATGATCCTGACGAATGGCATAAAACTATTAATTATGCTTTGTTCACTCTATTCTTACTACATTGCTTGTGTGGTTAAAAATTAACTCTATGATCTTATTTAAAACAATACATGTGTCATTTCAGACATTCCTAAAAAGGATGCTTAGTAATAATAAATAGGTGTGCTTGTCAAGAGAAATTTGCTAACAAAGTGAATTCAAGCATCTTAAACAGATAAAAGAAAGCAACTACAAATTATGGTAGGATAATATTTTGCTTTATTTTTTTAAATATTCTCCTGTTTTTATTCATTGATGAATTTTAGATATGCAGATAAAGAAAATAAATGTTTCATGATTATTATGAGCATTCCAGAATCCCCAGGCAACCCTAAATATTTCAATG